AGAAACAGTCGGTTTTTCACGTTTTTCTGTTTTTACAAGTTTTCTGCTGTACAGTTGACGTCAAAAATCTTTAAAGGTGATATTCTTGATCAGCTCGACGTGCTCTATCCAACCATGTATAATTCGAAAAGATTCATTTTATCACTAACCTTCTGAATTTCCGGCACCTTATTTATCCTCTTCTATCGGCATATTAACAGTAAACTTTTGTATACCAGATTTTTTCTCAATTTCATATTGATCTTCATGGTCAATTTTTAGTACTCAAAGATTTTTCTTGCGCTTCAAAAGCTTTCCACGTTGCGTAATTCTCTAGATCATGTCGTCTACATTTTGCAAAAAAGACAGACATGCCTAGCAAAAACTCATAATATCTGTCAATATAATTAAGAATACCCGTTCTTTAGATGAACGAATTGACCATTTCAACAGTATGTTTTGTTGTTTCATAACGAATTTTAGATCTTTCAACTATCCATTTCGATATGATATTCCTCAAGACCATTCAGTCCTCTCAAAAGTTGAGGACTGATGCTTTTTGACTGAAAATATTTTGCCTGGAACTCGTACGTGAAATGTTTGGCAAAAGTTACTGGAAAGACCGAAAAAAATTACAAAACACAGGAGTTCGTTCGCGTCTGAGTGTACGAACATATGGCTAAATAATTTTTCAGAGCTTTTTCAAAAACATAGAAAGAACGGTTCTTAGCAATAGGTCAATTTTCGGCAACAAACCTTATCTCTTGTGGCAGGTCTATTTGTTGAATGCGTTGGGACTTTTTAACTGCTAAAAGACGCTAATAGCGACTGCAGTTGTTTGACTTTAACTTAATTTTGCGTACGATATGTGTGATTTTCGATTTTATTCCCGATCCGTTCTTCTAAAACGCCTTTTTGCAACAGTTTTTTTCTTTTCTATATGTTTAAAAAAGGTTTCATTTTTCTTCAAACACACAGCTATGTTCGAAAATAGTATTATCAACCAGATATGAATCAAGGTTTAAGGCGCAGTGCTAGGCCTTGTGAGAGAATGACGAAGCACTACTATACGTACTATCGTTATGCTTGAATGACAATGCAAATTTTTGCATGTTTATGTTAAGTATATAAGTTGCATACTTGTGATCATCATAACTAAAAAAAAATATTTTCTCTTTTTATAATACAAACTTTCTGTGTTTAAAGGACTATAATTTACATCTCAATCATGTCGACCAATGATGACTACGGTGAACTTCGTGCACTAAAACCGGAACAAATACAAGAAATTACTAATGGATTTTTACAGTTTGATGCTGATCACAGTGGTACCATAACACAACAAGAAATGAGAGACGCACTCCGACGTTCGGGTATACAGTCACCAGAACAAGAAATCAATCAAGTATTTCAAAATTTAGACAGTCGACACGATGGTGTTATTGATTATCATGAGTATGTCAGAGGAATGGCACATGCGTACGTACATCCAGGACTTACACACGAACAATATCTGGGCAAAGCAACGCAGGGAGCCGGTAAGTTTAAAAGCACATTATATTTTGTTTGTCTACGTGTATCTGAATTAGACCCTATAAAATTTAAGCAATTTTATTACTTTAAATTCTGTCCTCTCTTATTAAACGTTTGTTGTTTCAGGCTATGCGTCTAGCCAACCACCCCAACCGTCATACAACCGTCAACCGTCCTACAATCGTCAACCGTCCTACAACCGTCAATCGTCCTACAACCGTCAACCGTCCCACAATTATAATCCACCACCGCCACAGCCGTCCTACAATTATAATCCACCGCCACCCCAACCGTCCTACGGTTATAATCCTCCACCACCTACACCTTCCTATCAACCTTATCCACCGAGTTCATATCCGCCGGCACCATCTCAGCAGCCCTATTATCCACCACCCCCGCAATATTACAATGGACCTCGCTAAAAATAAAACTATTTTTCATAGCTTTTTCTATCGGTCGTTGAAAGCTGTTTGAGTTTTATAATCTATTACCAGTTACATAAAAACTTAATCCTACAGGATTTTAACTTGAGCAGTTTCCTTTTCAACTATAGATTTAGTTCATACAACTAGCATACTCTCGTGGGTATTTAATTGTTTCTCTGCTCTTTTCATGTAAAAGTATTGACCTATATTTAGTGTTTTATTTAGTTGTACGTTATTCCAATAAAAGATACCATCGAGCAGAGAGGAATTTGAAATATCGGAGTCGCACCACTGTTGAAGCGTTCTATTCAGATACTTTGCGACGTAAAACGCTAAGTCATTCTCTTGACATAACTCAAACAGCTTATCGGTCTTAACGAAGTAACATCTGTCCCACAGCGTCAAAATCGCCTAACTTTTGCCCATTTATCGCGATTTTGACGTAAAATTGTGATTAATCGCGATTTTTCTCCTGTGATTCCATGACAACAACTAAAAAAGATCTCCTCAATTGAAAATCACACTCTTCCTCAATGAAACATTCCAAACACATTCTGTTTATGGGAAGTTGTTTATCATACTCGTCTCTATGGGATAAGATATTGTGGTTTTAGATTGGTGTCGTTATTCTGAATTTATAGGCCCAACAAGAGGCCCGAACCTGAAACTCACCATACTCAGAAAACTATCCTTTTCAGTAAAACTTTAGTTTTAAACTTATACATGATTATTTTTCAATGAAAGTTTGTGTAAATAAACACGTCAAGAATATCCTGACTGAGAGATACAAAGGGTCAAGGGATGTTATATATATGTATGATGTAATCAGGGCTGCCAAATCTCCTGATTTACCCAGGGAACTCTTGGTTTTTAGACTTTTCTCCTGGTGAAAAAATCTCCTGGATCCAGGAGCTGGTTTTTGCAGTTTTCTCCTGGTTTCGTCACTTTGAGTTTTAGTGACATCATGGTTCACCATCCTTGAATTAATAAGATCAAGGCAAAGTAATAGGATAATAATCAAGTATAATAATCAAGGAAAAGAAAAAGAGAACTATCACGCTGATAGACGCAAAAAATCAATAAGAAAACACGTTGTTTCTGGTGGTGATGTGTAAAACTAAGAAAGATTACCAATTTCATAAATAAATTCTATGGCAAGAACTTGTTTCATTGTTAATTAAGAAAGTACCCACTGTGTATTTATTGCATGTTTTCATTGCAAGAAGATGAGATTAGTGAAGTGTCAAATTCATTAGAAGAAAATCTTTTGCCACAACCTTTACCACAACCGACAAAAAAAAAGAATTTCTGAGAGCCTTTCAAAAGCCTTCTGGAAACCTTAACTATCTATCAGGTGAAGCGTCGCGGTTGATTATCTATGAAAGCCTTTTCTTCTAGCTAAAGTCTCAATGTTTATCTAAACAAATTTCTGGAGATCCTTTGAAAATCCAAGAGAAACCCTCATAAAGCACTGATTATATGCCCGTTAGATACACCGTAATTTATTTATCATTATGACTGTTTGTTGTTGAAAAAACCAAGAAAAAAGTAGTATAGTGTAAAAAGCAAGACAGATGAGCAGCACCTTTTCTACATCTTGATTATGAAGAAAACGATAACTGGTGACCAATTTCAGTCACTAGGAATAGTTACTGTAACTATCCCACGCTTACTTAACGCTTTCTTTCTATCAGAAATATATTTTTTTCATAAAAAGCTGATTTTGAGCTATGTGCTGCTGGTTTGATAGTCCAAGATGTCTATTCCTAGAATCAACCCTGTTTTTGCACAATCTCCTTAGTTCCTCGTTTGCAGTTGTTGTGAGGAAAACGAGAATGGTGTTATCTTGTGGAGAGTTGTTTTCTCTATAAACCTTTGTCCATCAAGAAAATTGTACTTTCCGTTTTCAGGTTGAAAACAGTCGTTTAAAACCAGATGTTCAGTTAAAGATTTTAAAAGATCTTTTCGTTAACTAAGCTTAGCCTAAAACATTTTCCTCAAATACGCTTGATCCAGGCAGTTTTTTGTCCTCTATCGAATGACGTATTTGGATTAGGCTTTTTGTTTAGTTTTAGATTGAGAAATCCAACTCTTTTAAGTCTTGAGAGGATATTTTTAAAATTTTTATTTTAGAGCTTTAGAAAGGCCTTTCTCCAATCATTTATTTGTCAACGTTTAGCGCATTAAATTCTCTTTAGAATGGTATAAACATAAAAGGTTGATCTATTCGGGAAACATCTAGAAAATTAGAGTCAAACAAGTGTATGATTAAATATTCTCAACACACGGTTCGCAAAACACGACTAATTTTAGAAAAAGTTCTCTTGAATACCGAGAGCTCAATTTGAAAACGTGTACTTATGGCCAAATGTAGTATAGACTGTACCTTATTTATTGATAAAACAATAATTTCTTTAGCAGTTTTCTTCCATGAGAAAATACGCTCGCAACGGTTTTTCTTCTACTGTATGATCAATTTTTTGAGACACTGTAAGGAAAGAAGGTGTTGGATGCTCATTAACCTATGAACAATATGGTGACAAATCTCAATGCAGACCATGTCTGCTGATATGCGACAACTTCAGGGGATTCTTCTAAGTGTTTCTTAAATTTTTCCCAGTATCCGTAAATATAATCTCTCAGAGAATTGTCTCTGCTCAGAATCATCGTAGTTAGATCATCCCAGCCCCACAAGGAATACACCAGTCTCGTTCCTGTACAGTATACATGTTCGATTTGTATTTTTTGTTTGTCTGTGAAGTAGAACGAGGTAAAGAAAAGACACACAAAATGCGATAACGCAAACACACAAAACATTTGTTATTTTCACTTCAGATTTTGGTATACTGTGAAAAAATTTTCTCAGTCCGCAATAGACGTTTCTCGCCATTTTTAGTCTGCTGTCAATGTGTTTTTTCCACTCTAACTTAGTACCAATTTCGATCCCTAAATATTTGAGATTTTTTACATATCCTATCGGAATGCTTTTGTATAGACTGTTGTCTGTGTAGAGTGATGTCACGTTTCCTTCTTTTCCTTAGTGTATACGAACGTTGCAGACTTCATGCAGATAAGACGTAAATGACCTTGTTTTCTGTTTTTCATCTATATATCACGTTTGTATGTATACATCACGTGTATATAGTGATTTTTATTTCTTACGTGCAACACTGATGCTGAAAGCAACATCGACAAGGCGCACGAAGACTGATAGAAGGAATTTAATGAAGGCACACGCACGTGTACGTACGCGTGATTTACCTCTAGCAAACATTTTGTACTTAAAATTTCCTAAAATTATCGAAGTTCAAATGCAAAATCAAATGATTTATGACAACTACAACAATATGAGTTAACAGGAAAAAGATCGAATATGTAATGGAGAAAATCTCCAGCATATGGTGAATCAACAGAATCAAAAGAAACAGAAAAACAAGCTCGTGCAGCATCATTAAAACGTCATCTAACAAGTGGAAGTGAAATAATCGAAATCAATGAAGAAAATCAGACGAATACTGACGGAGAAAACTTTCGAAAACAAATAAATAATAGAAATATTCAAAGTACGAACAGAAACAACAACGATACAGACTATCGATTTCCCGTAAATAAAACGAACACAAATTCAAATATTAATGAAAACAGAATCAGACATCAACAACAGCAACGAAATGATTTAAATATTAACAACAGTAATACTAAACAACAGAGGCCGACATCGACAGATCAAAGCTCAATTCAAATCTCCAGTCCCGCTTTAAACTATACGACGGAACATCATCTTCCTCCATTAAAAATGGAATGTAATCTTAAACTAAAAGATCAAAAACAAGGATGAAACATGATCGATGAATTAGTGAAAGGACGGGCCTTATAAGCGTCAAAATTTTCCCTTGATATGTCTGAACAAGAGTTGCATATTCAGAATCAGCGTGAAATTCTGCATCGAATGCGGTAATGGGCACCTTGGAAAAACCATTTTCAATTTTTCGGAAAATTTGAAGTCCTTATCCCACCTTTGGAACATCGAAAAAAGCTTTTACTCAGACTTTTTCTAAAGATACTTTATTCGATGCAGAATTTGATGCTGATCATAAATATTAGGTCAAAACTGGAAAATAGTTAAGTTTTGATCGAAAAAAGTCGATTTTACTGACAGATGGCGTCAGCGACCTGGTTCATTAAAAACACGCCTTTTCCCCTTAGATTTGGTATGGAAACTTTCAAAACCACCTAGATATACTCAAAAATGTCCCGGCTTTCCGATACGGGATAGAAATCCGCTTCAAACTAGCGTTTTCAAGTCAAAACGGGATTTTGTAACGGTTTCTGGAAAACCTTAGTTGCAGTTGTTACACAACTATTCATGGAGGAAAATTTCATTGCACGTGCATTCATTTATGAAGAACACTTTCCTAGTTAGGGGGGAGGTGTTAACATATACCGATGGTGAACGTTGGTTAATACATCGAAAATTTGCCGTAAATATTTAATTTAAGCCGTAAATTCGAACTTCAAGTAAAAACATTTCGCCTTTTTTACACATAGTTTGCTAGAGCATGAGCTGCTGATCACGAAAAACTAGTTCTTAGCGTTAATGAATGCTGTTTTCAGGTCAAACAAATCAAAAACTTGGAAGGTGTCATTTTTCTCGAAAAACACATCGTTTTTGAAATATGCAAAATTTTCTACTTTGCTCTTCTTGCCAGATTATATTGTTTCAGATTCAGCGTTAAAAACTGAGCATAGACAGACAAGATGTTAAGTTGACCAAGAGAGCCATTTGATGGTTGCGCCTCGAACTGCGCGCATTATAAGGCATATAGGTCAGAATTCCGACTTTAGTAAAAATTAATTTTCTCACCACTGAAAGAAAAGAAAGCGACGCGTACTTTTGTCATGGTGTGATGAATCGAATGAGATAAAATATTTTACCTCCTCGATCAACCAGCAAAACTAGATAGTCTTGTCCATACTCAGTTTTTAACGCTTAATCTGAAAGAAAGTTCTTAGAAGCTGGCAAGAAGATCAAAGTAGAAAAGGACGGGGGACGATAAGACCACAAATCCGCCCACTACCAAATCCATTATGTAGTAACTCATCTGATGCAGTTTTTCTTGCCCATTAAACCTATCATATTTTTAGGCAATAAAAATCCTTTCGAACGCCCCTAGAAGCCTTTTGCCAAACTAAAACCTTCTTGCTTTAACCGAAATTGCCCAAGGCAATTTAATTCGTCTAACTCTTTCCGCTACAGGAAGTATCAACTAGTATACATCACTCGATAGAGAACTTCACGGGCTACAAAATGATATATGAGATATTGTTAAGAACCTGTGTCTGAGTAGTCCAAGGTTGGAAATACTCGTTAGCAACTCAGCAAACGGACGGGTCAAGGTCATTGATGTCAAAAATTCTCCATTATTCGGTCGTTAACCAGTCTACTTCATGTACGATTCGATAGAGAATTTCACCGGCTACAAAATGATATATGACACAGCCTTATGAAGTTGTGTCGGGGTAAGGCCAAGATTCGAAATATTCGGCAGCATAGAGCATGCCGACAGGCCATGGTCATTCATGTCCACAAAGCTCCGTTATTCGGTCGTTAACCAGTCTACTTCATGTACGATTCGATAGAGAATTTCACCGGCTACAGAATGATATATGATACAGCCTTATGAAGTTGTGTCGGGGTAAGGCCAAGATTCGAAATACTCGGTAGCATATGAGCAAACTGGTGTGTCAAGGTCATTCATGTCCACAAAGCTCCGTTATTCGGTCGTTAACCAGTCTACTTCATATACGATTCGATAGAGAATTTCACGAGCTTCAAAATGAGCGATAAATAAGTCTTTCAGAAATATCCGCACATGGGTCAATAGTCGAAATACCTGGCCGATATAATGATATTGACCTATCTTACTGCTTTCAACACTCCGTTAGTCGTTTATCTGCCATAATGAAAATTATGTATTGTTCGAAAACATACCACTGAATAGCCCTTGAAATTCTCTACGAAATGAGCCGGTCACAATATCCAGACAGGTCGGGCCAGTCATTAAAGATATGGAAAAGAAGCTTTTGGGTGTTATATAAGCAGTACAGTGTGTCATAATCACAAGAACTCTCTTGTTTTTGACCTTTTAGTAAAAGCTGGAACCAATCTGAATAATGTTTTGAATAGCCCGAAGATTTTTCTATCAGACTAGGTGCGCATCGGCCTTTCGTGAGAAAGGTCGATAATAGAGCTTCTGGAAAACCTGACCGTTGAAAAACCAAGTCCTTAGTTTTTAGTGAGAAAATTTCGCAGACCACATGGGCTGATAGAGCGAAAAATTCTGAGCATGTATGTTTTCGAACAATACATAATTTTCATTATGGCAGATAAACGACTAACGGAGTGTTGAAAGCAGTAAGATAGGTCAATATCATTATACCGGCCACGTATTTCAACTATTGACCCATGTGCGGATGTTTCTGAAAGACTTATTTATAGCTCCTTTTGAAGCTCGTGAAATTCTCTATCGAATCGTACATGAAGTCGACTGGTTAACGACCGGATAAAGCAGCTTTGTGGACATGAATGACCTTGGCCTACCGGCGTGGTCGTATGCTGCCGAGTATTTCGAATCTTGGCCTTACCCCGACACAACTTCTTAAGGCTGTGTCATATATCATTTTGTAGCCGGTGAAATTCTCTATCGAATCGTACATGAAGTAGACTGGTTAACGACCGAATAACGGAGCTTTGTGGACATGAATGACCTTGACACACCAGTTTGCT